GAGATTCGAGATTCGAGCATCGGGATGCGAAGTTCGAGGATTTGGTTCCGAGGATCGAGGAGCAGGGACCGAGGGCTCAGCTGGAGGGGGGCTGCCGCAGAACCTCGGGGCGGCGGGCGGGCCGAGGACGGCGTGGAGCCCAACGCGATCTGCTACAACGCCGTGGTGCACGCCTGCGCCCGTGGCGGCGACGTGGACCGCGTCGTGCACTGGATCGACGAGATGGTGCTCCAGGGGCAACGTTCCCCGATGTCCCCTGTTCCGAGAAAAAAAACGGTTGCGGCTGGTGTTTCAGCGAGCCCACCAGGACCGTCAAGATACGATTCGAGCGGTCGCCAGAGGACCGAGCGCGGACCGAAAACACCCAGGCTCATCGTTGAGGGAGGCCCATGGAAGGAAGCATCGACCCCCAGGCGCCCATTCATCTCCGACAGAGGCATGATAGCCCGCCCCACGAAGGAACGTGCGCTTTCGCAGTCGGGGTACCAACGCCGATCAATCGGCGATCTATGGGGGGGGCAAAAATATACACCACCACCTCCCTCCCCCCCTCCCTCTCGCTTGAAAAAGGAGAGGAGGAATCGCCGTGGTGGTGTATAATTTTTGGGCCCCAGATATATATCGCCAATCCTATTCAAGCTCGATGGTTCCCACCCCGAGCCGCTTCTCCCGATCATCCCCCCCAACTGCTGCGGGCAGTGGTGCCGTCCTGGATCTCCGACGGTCTGAATTTTTCCTGCCGGCGTTCTCTTTTCTCCTGGAGTTCGGCCTTCCGTGGGCCGTTCCCGGGCCCTGGGTCAATCGAGAATGGATCTACGATCTTCGGGGGCGGAAAAAAGGGGGGTGATGACTAGGGGGGGGGATATCATGGCGTGGGCCATGATATTTCCCCAGATTTCATGGCGCCTCTTCTTATTTCATTACGTTCCTGGCCCCCCCGCTGAGCCGCGCACATGCCGCCAGTCATGACTTGCACCCCCCCCTCTTGGACACCCCCCTCTTGGCCGCTCCCGAGATCTACCCCTGGGCAAGCGGTCGGGTCACTGGCAAGGGGACTGCTGAAAGCTCGAGGAGGAAGATCCGAGGGAGGCAGGATGCAGCAAAGGAGAGGAGGGACACAGGTGGCCCCACGGGCTCCTCGGATCCGGCCCCTCTTGACGTGGGGTGTGACGTTCTGGGCCGCGAGGCGTGGAGCGCCAAGGGTGTCCCAGCGCACGAGCCCGTGCCCTACCACGCCCCAGAGCCAGGGTGCTCTCGTTGAGCAGTCTCTGTCGGTTTCGGGGTCGTTGTCGTTAATCCTGCAGGGGGTGGAATCCCCCAGCGTGGCATTCATGTTCGGCTCCACTCCTGCCCTTGGCCCCGCGCAATGAAGGGAGTGCTTTGGGTCCTCCGCATGGTGCTGGCTGAAGCGAGGGCGAGGCAAGAGAGCATGAAGCTTTTATTTGTTTAGCACATCTCTCTCTTCCTCTCTCTTTCTCTGTCCATCTCTCTATCCCTCTCTTTCCTTATCGTATACGCCTATACCGTTGCCTGCAATACTTGTGCATATATGTATAAATAAATGTGTATGTATAGTTATATATATGTGTATTTCTCATCTTGTGCAATATCCTCGCTTTCGATTTTGACCCTGGCGGCTACAGCGCTTCTGCACACCTCAGACCAGTGTCCAAAGAGAACATTAATATGATTATAGGGAGAGGCGTGGTTTCATAGGAGTCGTAGAGGCATAAGCAGACATGCAGACATACACGAACAGACAATCATCCATAGGCTGACCTAGAGGCGTTTACATATATGTGGTCTAGCTGACGTAGAAGCATGTACACGCATATGTTCACATATGTCTATATGCATAGATCTACACTTACACACAAGTAAGCATATACATATACCTAAACAAAGCTAGGCTTCATCGTAACAGGTGATGTTTTCCACACATGGCAACACAGCTGATGGCAGCTATGTGAACTACGCATGCGTACAAAGGTACTCAGGGCGATCACTCGAGAAACATGTATGGGGGAAGGAGGAGGACGGGAGGAGCGGGAGAAGCAGGGTATTGCGAGAAGGGGAGGCAGCGAGAAAGAGAGACGACTGATAATAAGAAGAAAAAGAGAGAAAGAGAGAGAGAGAGAGAGACGTGATGGAGGGTGATGGGGGGAAGAGGCGAGGGAGGCAGGGACCTTGTGGTGGGGCCTTCTTCTGATTATTATCATCCTTCTTCTGATTAGTATTTCTTGATGTTTTGATTGATCTTCGTACTATATGTATCAATACTGTAGTTGGCATTCTTACCAACACTGCGATAGCAACAACGACAAGGATTCGTACTCTACACACTTGTCATGCTCTTCCTCTCTGGAGAGGCCGTGGCGCTCCCCGCCTCGCGCCGACGCCCTGGCGCGCGGGCCTGCCGGAGGTGGCGCGCGGCGTGCAGCCCACGGTGAACACCTACAGCAGCGTCATGGACCGCCTGGCGAAGTCGGGGGACGTGGAG